ATTCCTGCGCTCTGTAGCAAGATTGAATGCAAAAAGACGCCATCTTCTTTTTTAACATGAGTGTGTGCGGGACGATTTCCCTTCGATTCTATTGGCTCTAACGATCAGAAAGAGATGTCACATTTCAAATCGAAGAAGGGGGGCCAGAGATAAGGAAAATCCACCCAAATGGCCCCAGAAGAGTTTATTTTTTGTGCTAAATCTGTCTAAAAAGGTCAAATATCAATTGTTTTGCATCAATCTTGATACAGGGTACTTATTATGTTGTACTTTGGATTTCTAAAGCTTTTAGTCTACTAACCCATCATCCAAGATTAGTTTTCACTATAAGTACAAAATATTTTTATTTTGAGAAAAAAGATTATTAATTTAACCCTTTTAGAAGGGAAGATATGGTCATTTGTTCTGGGAATGTCATTTTGAAGCCTGAAACCTGAAAAACAGGCTCGGGGTTTAACAGGTTTAAGCTTGTATATAGTTGTGCTTTTCTTGCCAGAAGGTGATTAAGTGTGGAATTTCCACCACACTGTTGTTAATATGTAGAAATAATACATGTAATATTGATTTAAAAACAAAAATGTTCTGTCTTCAGCGTCGTCTCTATCACGGCTATCTACCTGCTGAACCTGACTGACGACTCGGACATGAGGTACGCTGATTATTAAACTAACAACTAAAACACATCAAGAGACAGATTAATAAAACATTACTTCATTGACAATATAAATATAATTAATAATCTCACATTTAGGAACAACAAAGCAACGATACTACAATTAAGCACCTAATTATATATCTAATATATAATTATATGTAATTGTAAATAGACTCTTCTTGCACTGTTTCTATTTATTTGTATTTACTTCTACATCTCAAAACATTCTCTTGCACTATTTTATCTGTTTATTAGTTTTATGTCCCATATATATATTCATGTTGCTCTGTTGGAGGAGCCTGGGACTTCAGTTTTTCATTGCCATATCTACACTGCAGCTGCTGTGCTAATGACAATAAAGCCACAGTGTTGTTGTGTGTGCTGATTGTTGTTGTTGTTGTTGTTGTTGTTGTTGTTGTTGTTGTTGTTGTTGTTGTATGTTAGTAACGGCAGTGTGGAGTCTTTGCAGCCGACAGCCTGGAGCAGCCCAGGTAACAAACAACTATACATTATGCACGAGAATTAAGATAAGATGAAACTATTTAGATTTATCCCCTTTTTCAGGCATTTAACCGTGTCAACAGTGTCAGAGTTGTTTTAGTGCAATAACACCCATCTTTCTCCCCCAGTCCCCCCTACCAGCCCCCCCGGCCCTTGGCCCCCAGATGTGGACTTCTGTGAGCTGCTGTACTGTGACCATGTGTACTGCTGCCCTCCAGTGGGCAGCACTGAGCCCAACATCACCTCCACGCAGACATCTCATATGTCAGGTAACGCTACCAAAAAGAGACACAAAAAGACCTCAAAGATATATTTTTTAATTGAATTATTATTCATTATTCATTATGTATTATTTATTATGTATTATTTATTATTTATTATGTGTTATTTATTATTTTATTCAGTCCTGCATTGGTATTAAGTGGTTATACCTGGGAATGTGGAGATATTATTGTATTTATTTGTTTGTAAATTGTTTGTATGTGTTTGGTTTGTGGAGCACTTTGTGTATGAAAAGTGCTTTATGAATAAAGTTAGATTTGATTTATTTTGAATGGTTTGGTCTGTTTTTGGTTTACAGAAAAAAGAAAAGAACAACTTTACGACCAGATGAAACTTGCTGGAGATTGTAAGTGCATTAATTCTACATTTTAAACTCAAAGAGCAGAATACAAATTAATAAATAGTCTGGTTTTAATATCGTATCAGTCATTAGAGCTTAATTTAAGGAAGGAATCTGTGTTATGTCGTCAGGTCGATGCAGACTTCAACAATATCAGCATCTGTTTTGCACACAATGCGAGATGTTTCATTAAAATGCATCTCTAATAATCTGTTTTCTCAATTAGGGACGAACACCACCATCCAATCCTTTTTGATCAAAGAGAGCCAGCAGGTGATTGACAGCAAATACTGCCTGAGAGCCGAATGTGGGTAAGTGAGACAGAAGAAAGACTAAATAAACCTTATTTACTCTGACCGTGTCTCAGAAAAACCTTAAATTACTGTAAAATATGCCGTTTTATTATTGATTTCCGTTTGTTTCCTTCAGGCCCGGGAGATACGTCTTCAGAGTTCCTGTCAGTCAGTTTGTCCCGGTCAACATGAGAGTCACGCTGATCATGAAGTGAGTTTAAATTAACCCTACCTGCATCAAGAAAACAAATATTTAGACTATAAGGGAAGTCTTATGTTCGAACAGCTCCAGATGATTGGAAATATCAACTTCATTTTGAGTCAATATTGAAAATAATAATGAAAACAATCTTTATGATGTTTTGTAATTGTAAACTTTGTGACTAAACCAAAGGTATGAGGGTTGAAATGAAAACTATTTTAACAGCAATTTACTTAATATTTTGTTAAATTGAACAAAGATACATTATTTATTCGATTAATTAAAGAGGGTTAGGAAATACAATAATCATTACCCTCAAAATGTATAAATTAGCACAGGTTATTATCCTTAGTCTCTACTTTCTAAGTATAGATAGATAAATATTTTATTGATCCCAATTTGGGAAATAGTTTTGTTACAAAAGAAGCATCAGTGTGTTCAGACACGAAACACAAAATACTTAAAAAGTGGAACAGAGAATTAAACTAAAAATGTAAAGTAAAAATCAAATGAAAAATAGAATAACAATTCTGGATAATTAAAATGTTCTAAAAAAGTCAAAAATACTGCGGTTAGTAACAGGAATATATGCTTACCGTACAGGAGCATTGACATACTTGTATATACATAGGATAGTAAAACAACATAGGATAGTAACGTATCTCTTATTACTGAAATTACAAATGATTGTATTAATACATTATTCTCATGTATACAACATTTGCAAAATAGTGTTGTAAATATTGGAATTTGGACATGCTAATAGCTATAAATAAAAATAAAGACATGACAGTAAATACATTTATGTTTTCATTATTTACATAAATATATTTATTTATGTTATTTCTGTGTAGCTCCACAGAGCTGCTGGTGGTTCACCTCTGCAGCCTCGATGAGTCGGCGCCTTGCTCTGCTCTGCTTGATCTAGACAGCGTCTCAGGGAGCAGATACCCGTCAAACACACAGGTAAATATCACACATTTACAGTTATCACCTAAAAAAGGCAGTTTTTATATCAAAAGGCGTGCCTCAGGGCTCCATAATGGGACCACTACTGTTCTCCATAAATGTCAATAATCTATGATAATTTCTATGCAGATGATACAGTTATCTATTGTTCATTTCCAACAGCAGAAATCTATGTTAATTCTTATATGTTATTCGTTAAATTTAGCTTTAAGGTATATTATATTACATTTTATCCAAAGTGAGTACAAAGTCAAAGTCCACTTTATTGTCAATATTTCAGTTTGTGTGTACAGACAGAGAGATTGAAATACCGTTTCCCACAATCCAGAATACAAAAATACAAATATATCTAAAAATATGTATGCCAATATGTATATACCTTAAGACACATTGATACATATGCACATAAACCATAAGGATTCAAACTAAAAACAACAACGCTGACATATTTACTTCAAACAAGCCAGACCATAGTAAGTTCTGGTAACGTTAGTAGGGCCATCAGTAACTTAACTCTAGATTGGTTATTTCTTTATTAAAAGACATTGTTTCAGGGATAACAGTTCATTTAACTTTGGGCTTTTGATCCACTAGGACCTTTTCTTTTTAAGCGGTTTGGTTTTTCGTAAAAATGGCCAATGGTAAACAATACTGCATGCTTGAGGAAACTTGTGTGTGTGTTTGTTTGCGTTGGTTTGAGGGTCACTGAGGTTCCAGTCCACTAACTCAGTTACCATTACAGTAAATAATGCAGGAAGAGTTGGAAGACACTGATCAATAATGAATGCGTGGCAGTGTTTCCCTCACATCAGGACGTCAACATTCTAATCTCAGCAAAGCTCACTCTAATCCCGGACATGGACACCAATCTCAAAGTGAAAGACAGAATACAGAAGAGGTGGAAGAAGATATTTCACTCGAGTAAAAGGAGTAACACCTTCCATTTTGTGATCACCCCGAGTGATGGTTTTGCTGATTCTGAGACGTTGTTTTTATTTGTTTTAAATAAATAGATTTACATTTAATTAACGTATATCTGATGTTTTTCTCTCTGTGTTTCTGCAGGGAGAACATGAATGGAATCTCCACGTTGCTCGTCTTTATCACAGCTCGTATCACTTTCGCTCCACAGTGGCCGTAAGAAACACACTTTTCTTTTTAAAGTGGGCCTACTCTGCTAATTTTCTGGTGTATATCAGTAGGTAGTGTCTCTACTTTAAAGAGTCCTCTCCTGCTGATGTTCAGGTGTATGTCAGTATGTAGTGTCTCTACTTTAAAGAGTCCTCTCCTGCTAATGTTCAGGTGTATATCAGTATGTAGTGTCTCTACTTTAAAGAGTCCTCTCCTGCTGATGTTCAGGTGTATATCAGTATGTAGTGTCTCTACTTTAAAGAGTCCTCTCCTGCTGATGTTCAGGGGCCGTATTCACAAAGGATTTTAGGGCTAAAAGTAGCTCCTAACTGGCAAATTTAGGAGAAACTCCTAAGCATAATGGGCGTGTCAGTCTTAAATTTAGGACTCCTAATTTTATTCACTAAGAGCAATTCACAAAGTATTTTAAGCCTAAAAGTAGCACCTAAGTCTGGGAGAGCTTAAAAGTCCTCGAGAGGACTCCTAACTCAGTAAGACCTATTCACAAAGAATCTGAAAATGGCTGAGAGACGAAATGTTTTGGAGACAATGGAAGACTGTGAATTGATCAAGAGATATAGGCTAAATCGTGAGGGTATCAAACTTGTTGTGGAATTAGTGCGGGATGCAATAACATCCCCGACTAACAGGAATAACCAGATTAGTCCGGAAATAAAATGTTTGGCAACACTACGATATTTAGCAACAGGGAAAATGCAACTTTGCAATGCCGACGATTTAGGAATATCGCAACCATCAGTCAGCTGTGCCATAAACCAAACCATCAACGCGCTCTCTAGACCACATATCATCCAACAGTTTATCCGGTTTCCTTTGGACAATCAACAACTACACAGGATCAAAGCCAACTTCATGGCAATGCAGGTATGCCCGGTGTGGTCGGTGCTATTGACGGTACGCACATAAAAATAATTGCGCCATCAAAAGATGAGGACGTGTTCGTCAATAGAAAGAAAGTACATTCCATCAACACGCAGATTG